TAGTTACGGAAGTTCAAACTTGTTTTGATTGAACTTACATATGCATATATATACATTCATATGTGTGTACGTACATATAAATACAAATAAATTGGAAATTTTGAATAGCTAAGCTGAGCTGAGCTGATTTACATTATTTAGGCTATTTGCTTATGTACAAAATTATTTCAAGTATCTGTTTTGTTTTATAAAATACTAATAAATATATACACACATATACATACATACATACTTTAAAATGTATCACTCTAGGGGTTATGGATTTGGTATTGAAGTTTTTTTACGTTCACTAATGCAGCAATTAATGTCTTAATCAAACCTTTAAGGCTTTTTTAATTAACAATGTAACTATTTCGGTTGTTTTCAAATGAACTTTTCAAAACTCCGTACTTACTAAACTTACAGGTTTTTACACGAACTTGCAGGAAGTTACAGGAAAAATGATCCCGTACTTCAAACTCCTCCAAAATCCTGCAAATGAGAGCGATTTTTGGAGAGTTGTGTAGAGAATGAAGTAGCAAGATTTTACCCGAGCTTTTTCTTCTGGTAAAATCATGAAAAGTGTCAAGAAATCACTGGTTGGCGTTTTTACAGGAAAAATGGTTTTTTTGTTCCCGTACTTTTTCTTGCTACTCACTTTTTACTCTCACAAACAAAAAGTACGGGAACAAAATAAGCACTTTTCCTGAAAAAACGTCAACCAGTGATCGCTTGACACTTTTCATAATTTTAGCTCTGAGCCAATAGCTCTGATCCAATACTTTTCTTGAAAAATCCTGTAAAACTGTCAGACAGCAAAATTACTCTCTGAAGTGAGAGTAAAAAGTGAGTAACAACAAAAAGTACGGGAACAAAAAACCATTTTTCCTGTAAAAACATCAGCCAGTGATTGCTTGACACTTTTCATGATTTTACCAGAAGAAAAAGTTCGGGTAAAATCTTCCAACTTAATTCTCTACACAACTCTCCAAAAATAGCTCTCACTTACAGGATTATAGAGGAATTTCGAGTACGGGAACATTTTTCCTGTAACTTCCTGCAAGTTCGTGTAAAAACTTGTAAGTTCAGGGAGTGCAGGATCAGAGCTATTCATAGTCAGCTGTCGAAGCGACGCCAACGCCAACGCAACGCCAAAGTTGTATGTAAAAGGGCCTTTTGTGGACATTTTAGCTCTGATCCAGTACTCCATGAACTTACAGGATTTTACACGAACTTGCAGGAAGTTGCAGGAAAAATGTTCCCGTACTCCAAAATCCTGTAAATAAGAGCGACTTTTGGAAAGTTGTGTAGAGAATGAAGTTGCAAGATTTTACCCGAACTTTTTCTTCTGGTAAAATCATGAAAAGTGTCAAGCGATCACTGGTTGACGTTTTTACGGGAAAAATTCTTTTTTTGTTTCCGTACTTTTTGTTGTTACTCACTTTTACTCTCACTTCAGAGAGTAATTTTGCTGCTTCACATTTTTACAAGAATGATAGAATACAAGATTGCGCCCATCAGAGAGGCTTTTTGGAAATAATTTTTGTGTGACGTTACACTGGTGCATTTGCGAAGGAGAAATGCCAAAACGCCATGATGCAATAATACAAGGTGGTATCAATTATGACAGCTCGATTTGACACTGCCTTAGCTCAGTAGCCCCATTTGGGGGAAAAATATAAAATTTCACATTTTTTCCTAAATAAAATTTGATTTTTTATAGTATGTTCGTAATGAAATGAAATAACATAAGATTAAATACATTTTTAAGAAAAAAAATTTGTATACTGAGAAAAAATAAAAAAATATTCAACTATATTATTAGGCAAAGAATTCTAAAGCTGAAATTAGTCAAGAACGTAAACCTACCGGTACGTAAACCCGAGTCAGCTCACACGATCTGTCTTACCAGAACGCCATGTAAATGAAAACTCACCACCACAGCATTTTTCTGTAGTTGTAGCCCGTAGCGCAGAAATCTGCGGAATTTAGATTTTTCCGCGTCAGCTGATTTCTTCCTTCTATAGATGGTTGCCACTTCGTCAGTTTCGCTGGTGGTAAATAAGTTATAAGTTCCTATTCAAAACACGTTCAAAATAATTGAAATTTACTATTGAATAAGGTTTTTTGTTGAAAACTAAGTAGGTTATATTTAGCTACGATCTATTATAGCACGAAAAATTGTAGTTGAAAGGGTAAGATTATGAAAAGGCATTGATGAGTGGCAACACTGTAGTAAGCAACACTGAGGGCTCCAGTAATCGACGAAATTCTGCGTATACAGACTGCGTTTAAGTATACGTTCTGCGTTCTCGACTAATTTCAGCTTTGAAGAAGTAAAACTGTCTCACCTAACTGCCGTCCCTAAATTGGAGCGCTAAGCGTTGCGTTATCCATTGTCGACGAGTGTCAGCGCGCGCTATCCCCAAATCAACGCGTCGTAATTTTTGACGTTTTCTCAGATCTTCTCGTTTTTATTCTCGTTTCCTCTTTCACTTTTTTGTCCTTTCTCTTTCTTTCCGTCTTCCGCATCCAACTTCAACACGTAACGCCCTGCTGATTTTGTGTATGTGTTTCGCACGGCTTCTGATATCAAATTGAAAAATTTTGTTTGAATTTCTACACACACTCTTACAGATTTTGACAGTTTATGCCGCCAAAGCAAAAACAAAATACATGTAAATTTTNCTGCATCATGCCAAAACGCCAGCAAGAATGGAAGAAGAAGAAAAAATGTTGCAAGCAAAACGTAAACAAGATGCACAATTGTGACGTCATACAAACAGCGCTTCTCTCAGATTCACTGAGAGCGGAATAGCGGTACCGAGATGGGCGCCACCTTTGTTCTCTACATCGTGACGTTTTTAGGTTCACATATAAGTAGATTATCCTCATTTTCGAGCTTACCACCCTAATCTGTAATTAAAACAAGATATTAGCCATATAAAATTCGTCCCTTGTTAATCTGTAATTATAAAATAATCTCAGGTTTAATCGATAACTTTTCGGTGTCCATCCTAGTTTTATCGATTGTTTTTGCGAAAAAGGGGAGAAATGCCAAATGTAAAAGTAAACAAAAATGGACGTTAGCAAGGAAAAGAGGTTTGTAAAGGTATTTTTAATAAAATGTTAAGTTAAAATACATATATTTATATTGCTTAATATCAGAAAAACGTGCTCACGGTGGCACAGAGAAGAAACATACATTTTCCTTGAGATGTGAGAATAACCAGCACAACAAATTTGATGGCTAATAATCTGAGATTTGCCTGTACAAACGGGGTGATTAAAAACGAGCTTTGATTGAGATAATATTGATATGTGAACATATTTGTATTAAGAAATTGTAATGTCGAAAGTTACGAGCAAACTCGGAATTTCTGAATGTTCCCTAAAAGAATAAGTATGAAAGTTCAGGGGCAGTCAAATTTTAAGAGCATAATGGCTAAGGGCCGGTTGTTCAATGTCTGGTTATCACTACTTGCCGGTTAAACATCATTATCGACGTGTATAACATGTGATCGATAAAGCAGTCGTTGTATTTAAACGGAGCTTCTACCTCCGATTTGTGTTAACCAGACATTGAACAACCGGCCCTAAGTTGAATTCAAATCTGAGTCACACAAAGGTCGATGCTAAAACATCGTTGAAACTGGCATCGATGTATCGTCAATTTACCCATCTTTGGAAATAGTAAACATCGAGTTTTTAACCGATATTATCGATGTTTCAAAAATATCGATACATCGTTTGCATCCCTACGCACAGCTGATTGTGTTTGGCAAAACAATTTAGGCATTTGTAAATATACATACTTGAAATGTAATCTATTTTTTTCTTAAAAAATTACCATGAATATTGATGCATCACCTATGGAAATGGAACCTGGCCTTGCTAAGCAACTGTTCACAACAGGCGCTGTGCTAGTGATAACGGGCGCTCCAGTGGGCACAGAATTCGGCATCGATCTTTGCAACTATAAAATTGGTGAGAAATTTCGGGGCGTAAAAATGATACCACCTGGTCCACATTACATTTGGTGCGCTTCATGTGGTCCTTATGGCGATGTGGCGCCTCGTGTTGGATTCGTACATTTTTTCAAAAGTGAAGAAGTTGTAGTTCGAGAGTGGAACCATCGCGATGAAGAAATGCAGGAAAGCCAGTGTGATGATCGTGAGCTAGAAAAGAAGCGCATACGTGACAACCTTAAGGAGTTTGATAGTTTTCTTGCACCATACGACTACCGTTTTTACAATAAGTGGAAGCTTTTAACAGATAAGGTGACAGAAGCCACAGTAGATCGCTGCAGACCTATTTTGGGTTCAATACGCACAAATGTAGAGTTACAATCATGCCCAGATGAAGATCGACCACGCGGTACACTACATAGTAATAGCTTACAACAACAATACGGGAAAACTGTTGTGAATGAAAGTGATTTGCTGCCAAATTTGAAACCGGTTGAAGGTACTGCACCGCGCTTCACAGAATTGCCTGAACGTATTCCGCATAATGCTACGCCAGCTGAGGTGTCTCAAAACAGCATGGATTGTGTAGACGCAATCACCAAATTAGTTGGGAAGTTTCACAGTTCGGAAGCGTTGATCGATGAAGAACAATTGGCTTTTGTATTTTATCTGGTTGGCTGCTCAGTAGAGTCCTTGGCACATTGGCGGAAGATTTTACACTTACTAGCGCACTCGGAAAGGGCTGTACAAGACTTTAAAATTCTGTACATGAAGTACTGCGAAGCATTGATGCAACAATTGCCGCATTTGCCTGAAGAACTTATGGAAGCAGGTGAATATAACACAGTATATAAAGATGTAAGATCGCTGCTCGTTAACTTAAATATGGCTGGTCTTGGAGTGAATGCCGATAAACTTATGAGAAAGTTGCAAAAAACTTTGCAGTGGGATTTCGAAGGATTGCTTGATGAAGATCCGGAGGACATGCCTGTTATAGTCGAGATCACGTAGACTTGTAATTTGAATGATTAAATATAATCTAAATTACCACATTTATTTAAAAAATAAATTATTCAAACATTACTAATACAGAAAAAGTTAAATAAAGCTATAAAATAAGTTCATACAACCTAATTTGATGTCATAACTTATTTCTGCTTTTTTGGTTCCCCTTGTATTTTCGACACCTCTGCGTTAGTAGCCCTATTTTCTTCTTCTCCACCTACCATCATTTGGCTTTCTTCCATAATTTTCTCTATTTTTGCTTTCATATCACCACCCATAGATTTATCATCGTCTAGTTCCAGAGAATATTGCGCCGCTAGCTGTTCCAAACGCTTCTGATTTTTCTGCAAATACCCTGGTAGCCAAAATATAGTTTGCACCATCCTAAAATAAGTCATATTATGATTTAAATACTTAACTGGTATAACAAATACGTATTTACTTTATTAAAATGTAACCAAAAAAGGCCAAAAGCAGGCATGTAAACGAGGCTTTAATCATATTCCAATAGTCAACAACAACTTGTTGATGTTTCATTTTGCGTATTTGTGTTTTATTTTAGTAATCCTTAAAAGTGAAGATGAATATCAATCCTATGTATTAAGTTTACTGTACGCTATTTGTAAACAAATATTTAAAAAAAATTCTTGCAATGCCTTTTCTTGACAACTTTGCGCGTAATAGTAAAACCTCATTTTACTTTACTATTACGTGGGAAGATAAATAATGATGAATTACCATTTGTTATGGTTGGCTGGTTACCGTGGGTTACTTAAATTAATACGTGTCCGTAAAGGAATGTGTATAGGGAATATGAACCGTACAGATTATCACAAATCAATAGAATACACCTGCTGAGATTAAAGCTTTACATGAGCTATGTATATACATATACACATAAGTACACATGGATGTATGTATATACGTTAGATGTACTTAAAACATAACTATTACCATACATACTAAAGTTTGATGGGAACATGATATCAGATTTAATCGCAAGGTAAACCTTCTCTTCGCCTAGCCCATGGCAGAATAAAATATGTATGAGAATCAGGAGAGCGTGGTTCTAGACCAAGATTGTGATTTGATTCCCCGAGCAAAAAAGAAATAAATTTTTTTTTTTGTGATTTGTTACGTTGGGCAAACCAGAAATAAATTTTTTAAGTATTTATTGTGTGCAATAAAAATTAATTTCATTTCTGATTTGATTCGTTGGACAAATAAAAAATAAAATTAATTTGTGAATGGAATCGTCGACTAAATAAAAACTAAATTTTATTTGTAATTTGATTCGTCCAGCAAAAATCTTGCTTGCTTTACGTAAAAAAAATAGTTTTTGTTGAAAAATCACGAATCAAACTTACTTGCTGGACAATCCAAAATACAAAAAAAAATTATTTTTTTTTAGGTTGACGAATCAAATCCGACATAAGTTTTTTTGTACAATAATCAAGTCACAAATAAAATTGATTTACATACTTCTTTTTGTTGATGAATTAACTAATTTTTTTTTTGTCCGGCAAATTAAATCACAAATAAGATTTACCCTGGCATTCAGTAAGCGGTCCCTAGTCACTAATAGTGACTTTTGGTGGTGAACTTGGATTTTGAGACTATTTGGTATTCAGTACGTTGTCTCTCGTCTCTAGTCTAAAAAAAAGTATCTAATTTGTCAGATGGCTAAGAGCAGGCCTCAAAAATAAAAATATGGAGAAAAACATAATTTCTTTCCATTTTGTTCAACAACAATTTCATTTGGAAATAAACCAAAGTGCTTTAATATCATACAAATCGAAAAAAAGAAATTTATTTTTTGTTTTTAAAACATTAAAATCTAAANAAAAATACTAAACAAAAAATAAAAAACCCCCTACGCTCGTGAAGGCCTTGAGCCCAGATCCTCCCGACCGGCAGCCTAATGCTTAGACCATTCGGCCATTCCGACCCTTTGTGCGGCGCGGACAATAGGCGTACATAAACGCTATCAATTGACTGTCTGTGTTTGTTATCACCACACATTTTTGGTGAACTTTTTGTGACTCTCTTCTACTGAATACCCAAATCATCTCAAGTCACAAAAATAGTCACTAATTGCTAATCGCAAATTTAGTGACTTGAGATGCGACTGAATTACTGAATGCCAGGCTAATTCAATTCAAATCAGGTATTTTTATGTCTGTTTAGCCGTCATCGATACGCCAACAGTTAAAAGGTGTTCGCACGAGGCGATTTTGCGTTCAACTCACGCAGGGTTGCCCGAAAAAAAAAATTGAATGGCTAAATGTTGGCTGGCGATCAACTTTGTTGAAAGCGATTAGTTGAAAGGCCGCTCAACCAAAAGTAGAATGCAAACGCCTTTTTATCGCGAATATTTTAATATTTTTTTTTATATTTATTATATTTATTGAACGCAGAAGTTCAATAATATCAAATATCGCCTTGTGCAAAAGCCCCATTAGTGAGTGACGAAACGAACGAACACAATGAGGTACACCAGGGATGGAATTTCAAAATTTCAAAATGTGACTAATGGTCTTCAAAAATAGTGCCGAAAAGATGATGAAAGTGCCACAAAATTAAATTTTTTTTAAGCTCTTTTAAGAGCAATATATTTTTAGAAATAATATTTTTAAAATACAACTCTGAAGTAATACAATAATTATTAATTAACTAAATTATTACAGTAAATCACTTTTATGAAGGATTCCTTAGACATATACAACGGAATATAGCTATTCTGTAATTCTTACACACTTATGTATGTACAAACATATATGCGAATATAGTAAAAAAAAATGTCTTTCTCTTTAAACAAAACGTAGCAAAGCCTACTGGACTGAGTTCAACCGACTGGAACGAACCTGCGAGTCTAGTGCTTAACCGCCTCCCGACGAAGTACTTGGTGGTGGTTCCGGGGTGTTCGGTACTTGGACGGTAGGAGGTTTAGTCCGGATTAAAGTCTACACAGGCGGGTATAGTGAATTAAAAGCTTGTTGTTGCGAAAACTTACTTTTTGTACTGTGTATTCATAGCGGTTTGTAAATATTTCTCACGGCCCTTGTTTTGATTTTTTAGTACTTTTAATTTTCACTTTTTTTAATTTTTTAATCTATAGTGTGGAATGTAATTTTTTGTTATATATTGGCATTTATGCTGAATTGTAGCAAAAGGGCCTCTGAGAATGAGAGTGCCAAAATTGCACTACTGTGCCTACTTTTCCATCACTGGCATCAAAATATCCTCGAAGACACTTGGATATCAAAAAACAACAGAAAGAAACAAATTGATCATGAAGTGACGCTTCAAACGATCAAGCCAAGAAAGACGACGAAAGATGCAAATCTGGTAACAGACGGCCAGTGCACACTTGAGATTTGGAGGGAAAGCTTCTTAATGATTTTGGATGCCGACACCGCACATTGGTGTCAAACGATAATTTTCTGATTAAAATGGGCGAGAGCATTAATTTTTCAACATGATTGACGAATAGTTTATTTTTAAAGAAAGCCGACTATTTAATTTTCATTTCTATTTTTTTATGTATGCTACTGCATAACTTTGGACCACGTTAACTGATTTCTATAATTCTTTTTTAAAGGAAAGCTGGTATCTCGGAGCTGGTCCCATACTAATTTGGTTTTAGATCCGGCCATTGGATCATGAAGAAATCAGCGATACTCTTTAATTTTTATATGAGAATTGAAGTCGGGTTTGTTTTTTGCTTAAACATTACTTGTTTTATTTCTAATTTTTGAGTGCAAAGTGCAGATAACGTAACAGTTTAGAAGAAAATCGGTTCTCCTCTTGCTGAAAATAAATAATCCGTAAATGTTTTACAAAAATTTTCACCAATATTTCAACCCTTTTATCCAGAAATTTTTTTTTT